CCGGAAAACGTACCTTCCGATTGGTTCAGGCAGAGTACTGTGCACTCGATGCTTCCTCCGGGGGGGGGGGGGGGCAACAAAGTAGTGTATAAATGAGTAACAAAGTGGTGTACAGTTATATACAAGGTTTATCAGTCATGAATGGTATGTTGTGTTCAGCTGCGAATTTTGTTTCGCCTTCAATATAAATGCTTCGTGGTATATAATATAGCCTGAAGTTGGCATAAACAAGGTCAGTGCATGTTTCCCTTAGTGGTTGTTGGTTGTTTTCAGTCGTACGAAATGCATCGCATGGATCATACCGAGACGTCATATACTTCACAGGCCAGTCATTGTCGGTGATCTTCATAATCTTTAACATCAGCATAATCGTCATCATGGCTACGGTTACCAACAACCCCCCCCCCCCAAACACCATAAATAATGAATGAATATGCTACACGAGATTACTGTCCGACTATCATATGCATTAGGAGCCAAAAATAACAATAAAGATACCATTATAGCACAGTGGTTATGTTTTTGTGTAGTCACCTTGGACGACTTGCGAAAGCCATCTTTTTCTTCTCCTTCTCAGTAGATGTGTCGATTCTCTCCTTCAAGCCTCCTCCTCTCCGAAAGCTTTCTGCACACCACGTGCTTGCACATTGCCTCCATGGTTGGAGGCATTGCAAGCCTTCTGCAAATCAATGGGTTTTTGCTATGCTTTGTCATCGGCCCGATTTTGACCTAGCAATGACATCATGTGGTGACTTCACGACACGATGACATCAGAAAATTTTGTCTATTACGAGGTAATCACGTGACCACTTTTTTATTCCTCGGGTCGACGCCGCTGATGCTGAAAGTCAAGTTATGCGTTTAATAACAATGCATATGGGGTTTTCGCTTTTATAACACACAGGAGCTACTTTTCACCGATGTGATATCGACGGCATGGGAACCATGTACGTTCCTCAAGGAAATCGCAGGGATAGGCAAAGAGTAAACATACGACCCAGGAATAATACACATTAAATCAATAAATATATCGAAGAACACATCGGGGTACTCGGTCCCTAGCAGTGAGCAGAGCTCAGCAACGCTCTGGATTGCCAACTCCCTATCTCCTGTTCATGTAGAAAATGGTCAGACAGCTCCCCGACAGACATTTCAGGACTCATCAACAGGACCGGCTCACCAAACTAATACTCCACATGCTTAAAGATTTGGCAAGGACCAGTTTATGAGAACGATAAATGCATTCTCACAGGCCCTTCGCTGACTCCTGCCCAGTACGCGAGCTCCCGAAATTCACCCTATATGTGGATTTCAGGGTATCCAACATCTACATCACCTTTCAGAAGCTGTACAGCCCATCGGCCTACGGGGTGGTCGGCGTCACCAATAAATTCCTGAAGAATCGAGACGACCCATCGGTACAACTCTAGTTACAGCTGTGATTTCTGGCACAAGGTACCCATCTCGCACCAATGAAAAACGGCCACAATACTTATGTCACGAAGTGCACCCACTAAGGAAGCAACAATGGGCGTGCGGAAGGAATTGCACTTTTTAAAGACGATAGTCTTTTTGGGGATCTTCGACAGAAAAACTTTGGTCTGTCCGTCTGTACATTTGTCTGTTTGTCCGCCCTTAACGATATCTCAAACGGCATCAAACGGCCAATCCAATCCGCAGCACCCACCAATATTGCTCAAGCTTTAGCATTCATAGTTGTGCGATTTTCAAAAAAAAAAGCAATTATTACGCATATCTGAAGCGCCATAACAACACGTTGATGTTTGGTATGTCGGCATTTATACTAGAAGAGGCACACACAAGTAACTCTAAGGACTGTAGCGTTTATCGCGCTGCGCTGACAGTGCAACACGATGCTTAAAAAGGTAAGTGTTTCCAAGGCTTTGCTATGACGACACGGTGGTGGCACCTGCCCATCACTTGGCGTTCTACACCTTATCGCCTCCGATACAGGTGCGCATCTTTCTCCGCGGGCGCGCACGCCTTCTTTTTCGAAGATAACTGCCAGATGGCGCTCGTGTCTAGCGTGCCTCGATGCACTCGTTCGCCTCCGCTACACGCTCGAGGCACTCTAACGCAGCACCTCCAGAATACCATTCACCAGTTTTCTTGCGCAGAACATCAAATAAACGTTTTGTTCACTCTCTCCAGACGCAAGACTATCGTCTTTCGACTGCAGTTGCAGTGTAACATGCAGAATTGGGCCATTATTTTTAAGGTAGCAGTTTGGCCGCACTCGATGACTCATTCAAGGAAAAAGCTGGCGAAGTTGGCTAGAACCGCAAATTGAGGAGCACCGCAGGGCCAGTCTCTTTCACAGGAAAGACACAAGCAGTCAGAGAACTTATTGGGTCCTGAGAAACGCTACCCTTTTAGAGCAACGTCGCAGGCTGCTTCCACGTAGGAATGGGGAGGCCTATCCTCACCGTCGCATCGTGGGCTCTTTGGACAGCCCATAGTTGTGTTAGTAACTCCGCACTTCATAAGGCAGAGTCCAAATCCTCTTCCATGAGCCGACTTTGGCCCCGTAATGAAGGGCACCACCAGAACATTTGTGTGAAGTCACTAACCTCACCACAATCAGGGCAAGTAGAATCAAAAGCCTCGGAGGAGACTATGCTGGGGAAAGATAGACTTGAATCTCAGTAATTCCCACATTATCACACATCTAAGTAATTCCAACTTTAAAATCTGACAACTTGTTCGTTATATTTTTTTTCATTTATTCGATATTTCATTTGCAGTCTAAGTTTCTAGCGCTTCTGAGCTTCCGCTGCCTTATTCTAAACACCCTGACTACATGTCCTCCATCCATTCCTCTTTGTGGGTGAGAGCCATGAAGAACAAGATATCACCGTCATCATCCCTCATTAATTTCACATTCGGGTGATCTTGCTCGGCATGAGGTACGTAAAATCTCCTTTATCTGATTGCGAACAGTCCCTGCGATACAGCTTCCTGCATTTTTGAATTGTTTTTTAAAGCATGGGGGCGCCTTAGAAAACTTCATCCCCTACATTTTATTTTTTATTGATACAACCCAGTGTTCACGATGGAAAGGTCAGCCTTGCTCCAGACATGGGCTTCGTGCGGTGATAGCAATCCTGTTTTCCTGTATTCCTATGAACACAAGTCATGCTGAGTGGCACTTTAGTACTTAGAGAATTTCGAGAAACTTCAAGATTTCCAGAAACTGAACCTTCACATCCAGTGAAGCGTCTTCAACGCGTCCCGCCCACCATGTCTTTGCGTTTCAAACAAGCGTCACAATGCTGTCGCGTACTGCCCCGTCGCGTAATGCCATCGCGTACGTCATCAACCATTTTCCGCCAGACAATGACACACACTCGCGACGGGTATATGTCACTGGTATGCGGGTATGCGCCGCAGCGGAGTGACACGTAATTAACTAGGAACGGTGAGAACACAATGATAATTTTAACGCAAGAGCGTTCAAATAACTGACATCATCAGCGTTGACCCGATGAACGCAAGGAATAAATGTCAGGGTTGCAGCAGAAATTGAAAGACAGCATTCCGCTTGGCAATCAAGTATTCTACCACAGAACCATGCGACGCCTTGGAGTTACTTTTGAAATAGATTCTACTTTTCGGGAAGCGTCAATTATGGTTGCAGTGCTGGCTATCAAACTGTATAAAATTTAGATATGCACTCCTATGATACAGCCGTCCCGTTGGGTTAATTGTAGTCAGGTGCCACCCGATGAAGTTACGCCTATTACCCTCGTGAGCACCAGCGGTTTATATAAACTTATCACTTGTGGTGTTGCTAATATTCATGTCTCTGTTGGTATCGTTGCGCAAGTGCGACCAACTGGTTTTATGTAAACACATGTGACTCTACATCATCTCTGTGCATGCGGAATTGCTACATATATTTAGCGTCATTTTGTAACATGTCACTCAATAAAAAAATTAACATGGTCACCTTCCCTGTGCATGATTCGCATAACGTAGATTCCCAAGGTAAGTGGGATCTGCCGAATTTTTCTTTCTCTTCTTATTTGGAAGACCAAAAAGAAATACCTCTGATGAGTGGTGCTTTTTTGCAAGTTACTGCGTGCACGCAATGCACGTTGTCAGCCTACCGCAAAAGCCCATTCACTTAGAAGCATACCTGGGGAGAGAATAATTATCGTACAAATCGAGATGCCTTGCGGGTGCTGCGTGTGACTCGCAGGGACACCAAGCTCAACGGCCGCTTCTTAATTCCATTCTTCGCGTCACATTCCTCCATCCAACAACTCCAAAACAAGAACAACTTTAATATTCGCACTAGCAAGCGAAACCGCTACGAAACAGTCCCTAAATAGGGACTGTTTCACATTCCTCCATCCTCCATCAACATTCCTCCATCCTCCATCAACATTCCTCCATCCAACAACTCCAAAACAAGAACAACTTTAATATTCGCACTAGCAAGCGAAACCGCTACGAAACAGTCCCTAAATAGGACACCAAGCTCAACACCAAGCTCAACCGCCGCTTCTTAATTCCATTCTTCGCGTCACATTCCTCCATCCAACAACTCCAAAACAAGAACAACTTTAATATTCGCACTAGCAAGCGAAACCGCTACGAAACAGTCCCTAAATAGGTAAACGCCAGCGCCTGCGTCAACGCGACAAACTGCGATTACGGAACGTAACTGAAGAGGGTGTGCACGCACAATTCATCACGTTTCGCCAAGCCCGTTGCAGTGGCGGGTGAGCGAGTATTGTTGCGATAAGCACCATTGGTCGGTAACGTTTCATATAAAGTTATAGTAAAACGTGTTCACACGAACGGCACTGAACTAAAACTCCACCTTCATGCATAAAGGTGCTGTTGGATTAAACGAGGCAAAATATTTCTCCAGGGGCATCACCAGCAGAATACTTCCATGGGGCACTCCTGTGGTAGGTACCCCGTGACGGACACCCTGTCCCAGCTCCCGCCCGAGCCCGTTCTCGAGGCGACTACGCGGTAATGTTGTAGTCCCGGGGTGGCTGCATCGGCATCTCGTCGATGCCCGCGCAGTTGGGACCGGCCACCATCTGAACCATTTTGCTTTCGTTCTTGCAGCCGAAGGCCTCGGCGAACACCCTAGCCCTGTCCATAACGGCCACAGGGACGTTGCACCTCATTCTGGGCGTTATGTAGCCCAGTGACGTCTTCGATGGGGAGTCGGGCGTCGCCGCGCACCACTTGAGGCAGGACGCGACAAAGAAAAGGTGCTCGGTCGTGAAGCCAGTGATGTCGGTCACGTTCCCGACATCACCCCCCTTCGACGGCGAGGAACCGTTACCCTCGCGGTAGAGGGCGTACGCGACCTCAAGGCCCACGAGGTCAGCCACGCTCTCGGACGAACCCTTAGCGGCATCCTGTTTCGAAGCCCCGGCCTTGGTGTAGAACTCAGCGATGCACTGGTGTCTCTTGAGATGCTCGTCTCCCAGGGTCAGGTCCGACTGGGACGCGGCTCCAAGGGGCATCTCTCCCAACGCCGCGTGCCATAGTTCATGGGCCACCAGGTGACCGAAGGCGCCCATGCTCAGAGGGTCACTGCCGTTGAAGAACAGCGGTTCAAGCACGGCGCTGGGCGAGACCAGAATGCTGCCGTACCACGCGCTGTAACGGACCATGGGACGCATCCCGGGGAAAGGGCCGTCCTCCTCACGGGCGATCTTGTCCTCCGAGCCGGGCGTCCGATCCAGGAGCTGTGCCATCTCGCGGTTACGTATGGCTGAAATGGCGTCCAGGTAGATCTCGATGTAGTAGCCCCGGAAGTCGGGCAAGTGCGCCAGGAACTGGTCCACGGCCGAGCCGGTCGAGTCGTTGAAACGGGAAGGCCAGGCGACCAGGCTCTTGAGGGAGCGGAGCCTTTGGAGGGCTGAGCGTTGGTCAGGCTTCGCAAGCCAGGAGCTGGCCATGGCACCGGTCCTGTTCTTCAGCGCTTCGAGATGGTCATACGCGGCCTGGATTCGTTCTTGCGGTACCAGGTCCTAAACAAATATGGCACGAGAAAACGTTCAAGCTTTCCAAGCAGTTTGTTTCTCAATACGAGAAACTCATACGTGCGGGTCGCGGTGGTGGGCCGCCCCATACAGAGTCATTAATTCGTGGGTGTCCAAGCATTGAAACATTTAGCATATACAAACGTGAACAATGCCATATGTGCGAACAGGTAGCGCATAGCACATGAAGTAACATTAGATTACGAAGAACACTCTCGTGCGCCCCGTCAGGGCGACTTCACTTCGGAAAATAAAGAGCTTCAGCTTAATGCTTGGATGTGTCTAATCACCTATTGAAATACGCGTGTAACAACTGTCACAAATATCTTTAATGGAGTACTGACAGAAATTAAAAAAAATTCGGATGTGTGCTCGAAATAAAAGTACGGGCGTCGTGAAACCTAAAGAGAGTATTGTGGTGCTCGGTAACACATCGAATATATCTTTGTTACCACTACCTTAAAAAAACAGTTCTGATATTAAGGGGTGGTTTCCTTGTGACGTATCAGATCAGTGTGACTTCACGGGACGACAGCAACTGCCGATGTACTAGCTGCAGATCTGTCGTTTGCTCGCGGTGCGCGTAAACAACGAAGAGTGCATTGCCGTTCAGTAACCCTGACGGCGATTTCTGCAATTTGGCTACGTGCAGGACCCAGATCTCGCAATTAATGAACTGTCTTCCCTCGTCGGGATAACGTTAATTGCGGTTGGGCTGACTTGCGAGTGCTCAGAGACCAATACTTCAAAAGAAAAATAAAATATTTTATATGCCTTTCCCGACACCGGTGTGTGAAGAGTGCTGACGCTGCATACCAAGGAAACGAAAAATGCCCATTTCACGGTGTGTTCGAATCGTGCCAACACCTCTTTATCTGTGTTTAAGCCAATTATATATTGCCACGACGAGCCTTCTTCCAGCCACTTGGGATTCACACATCCTTGCCCGGATTCGTACTCACTACTACTGGCCGAAGCTCACACAGGATGTCAAAAATTACGTTCAAACTTGTCATTATTGCCAGCACCATAAAGACCACCTGTAAGCCCCGCCCCGCTGGTTTATTGAAGCCTGTTGCCTCACCATCACAACCGCTTGAACAAATCGGCATGGACTTGCTTGGGCCCTTTCCGAAGTCACACGATGATAACCGCTGGATTGTAGTCGCTACCGACTATTTGACGAGGTACTGCAAAACGAAAGCCTTACAACGAGGCACCGCCAATGAGATCGCGTATTTTTTCGTGAACAACATTATCAGGGGTTCCGGAAGATTATCTGAAGTGTGACGGCGAAGTTTGTGGGCAGGGATATAATATATACATAGGGGCGTTAATTCATATTTCTGTTTTTGCTATGGCGAGAAAAATAGGGGGAGAGGTCGTAGCAGCTGTTAGAGGGGGGGGGGCGTGTCCTCTCTGGTTTCTAACCTGTGGGGGCGACGCCTCCCCCCCCCCCGGTTCCGGAGGCCCTGAATATCATCCTCAGCCATAGAGCGCCAACAGTTGTCATCAAGGACCGTGGGACAGCCTTTTACGGCCCAATTGCTGCAAGATGTCCTGAGGCTTTGGAACCACTTATCGCAAAACGACTGCATACCATTCACAAATCAATGGTCTGACGGAGAGATTAATCAAGATGCTCGCTGGCATGTTATCTATGTACGCTGACCGCGATCAATAAAACTGAGATGACGTTCTGCAATACGTATGCTCCCTTACGACACTATGGTTTAAGAGACTACAGGGTTCACTCATTTCCAGTTGCTTCACGGCCGAGAAGCAATTACGATACTGGATGACATGCTCTTACCAGACATGACCAACATTACTAATGATCAGAACGACTATCCGGCTCATCGACGAGACCCACAAGCTCGCACTCGAGTGAATCTGAAAACAAGAACGTGTCGACTATCAGAGCCACAATTTTCGTCATCGCCATGCTATTTACCAACCCAGTGATGTAGTGTGGCTGTGGATTCCCGTTCGCTAAAGAGGCCGCTCGGAAAAGATACTTCACCACTACTGCTGTCTTTATAGAGTAATATGGTGCCTGAATAATCTCAACTATGAGGTCCTGCTTGAAGACACAGCTCGGTGATCTCGACGTTTCCCGCAGGTGGACATTGCTAATGTATCGAGGATGAAGCCACACTGCCTCCGAACCACCTGACACAGCTTAACCATGCGTGTTTGTGCATGTCCGCGATTACTCTCTGTTCTAACCAGCATTGAGCATCGGGAGGGTACTTTTTGGAATGGGGTTAATGCTACGGACATGGAACGAGATAGAACCATTTAATATCATTACAGCTCACCACTGTCACATTATACTACGTGGCAGATCCATTGGGCCGTAAGCGATAATTGAGTAAGGCAACCAAGGTGTTTTCTCAAAAACAGAGAAGCAGCCAAGATGGAGGTCATCATGGCAGCTGCGAGAACCACGCAGACTCACTGGAAATGACGAACGAAGGGCGCACTAACAGGCCGCATGCTGATGCACTGGCATTGATGTGCGTATGGGAGGAGAACGTGCCGTTGGATGTGCGTTATGAGCGCGTGGTTGCAAATATTCTATATAAGATTAACTCCGGACTGTCACATGGCAAAGTCTATCGTGGAACAGTTAATGCGCATACTACTATTCGCTTCAAGTAATTTTGAAGTTTCATGCCATTTTTCGATGCAAGTAATTCTGTAGACTACATTTATCGTCGTTCCAAAGCTACTCGTTTCCTCACATCCAAGTAATTCTGAAGGCCGAAGTCATTGTTAAAATCAGTTAGTTTTAAAACCTACAGTGAGGTGTCGCTGGAAGCAACATTAGGAGAAGTGGTGTTGTCTTCGAGGCACCAGAAAAGGACGTGGCCCCTTCTCGAAGAATTCGCTCCAGTGACTCACCGTGTTAAAGAATTTTTCAAAGCTTGAAGCTTACACTTTCCACGGAACTTCCGCCTAAGTCATCAGTAAAACAGCTATGGCAAAGAACTCCTTGCGGATCCCATAAGATGGCTTGCCGATGGAGGCTCTGGCCTCGATGCACCACCATGGGACATTCGACTGGGTTTCGAGTGCTCTGGCAGCACGTGACACGTTCGGCTGGCCAAGTGCTCTAGCTACGTTAGAATATTTTTCACAGCACTGCTTTCCAACTCTGAGCACTCTGAGGCGCTTTTTTTGACGTCGGAGTGCGACTGAGGTCCAAGCAAGTCCCGCACCTCACCTGTTCGTGGCAGATATGTGATGACGGGTTTTCTCTAACGGCTTGCCATTGCTGCGGCGAGCGGCTGCACGCTATACTCGGACAAGCGTTCCTGAAGACGCTGCCAAGATTCATGCGGCGGCGTACCTGGCTGCCGCGTGAAGAAGAGGGGTTACAAAAAGTAGACCCGTCTTTCACACCCCCCCCCCCCCCCCCCATTGACTCCAACATGGGCTCTTGATGTTTCTCTATCTCGCTTTGGCTTGGATCAAGAGAGCTAGGGCACCGCATTGTTCCAATCTGAATTAGAGCTTGCTGGCACCTAGTGGAATGTACCATAAGTACACACCAAAAGACATAAATGCCTTGAAGGCACATGAACACTGGACGCCGCCTGATGATGCCTACCTGAAACACATAGCTAGACAGTGCGAAGGAAGTGAGCCGGCTAGCCGCTGCCGCGCATGCGTCCGCGTAGTACACCATGGCGGCACTTTGGTTGTCGGGCGAGAACAGGGCGTCCACTAGTCGATACGAGGTGAATGGCGCCAGCTGGCGCACCGCATGGAACGCGGTGTAGTAGCGCAAGTGCTTCGTCGGGTAATGGTCGAGCACCTCGCGCACCAGCGCGAATATCTGCGGGTCGGCCACGAACAGCTGCTCGTCTTCCGTGACGTTGCCCCTGTCGCCAAGTGCGGCGTTGAAGGCTTCCAGCCACGGGTTGGCGTGTCCCGTTTGAAAGCTTTTCTTATCATCCGCGGTACCAGTGTTGCCGCTGCTGCGCATGTGCAGAGCAAACGTTGTGGCGTCAGCGTGCGAAGTACCGTAACACCTATAAAATTAGCGACGACGTAACTAACGTTACCGGTACGTAAAATGCATGAAAAAGGATTTTGTGTTCGATGTCGCTTACGTTCAGAAAGTACTAAAAAGGGCGAACAGAAAAGCACCTGAATGGTAGGTGATAGATAAGCAATTCCATAAGGTGAAGGACACCTAAACATAGGTTGCTCAAATGTATTTTGGTCAGTCTGAACCTAAGGTTCGATTTTGATTGGCTCACTGAACGGCTGTTTGTACAGCGGCGCCTTCAGAAAAGCTTTTCTGTAAGGCCTATGGTAACGTGGACACTTGATGTACTCTTACCTCAAGGCAGCCTATAGTGGCAAGGATGTTTTGACGTTGACCAACGTTCCCAACATTGCGACCACGTAGCGGCAATTATTCTTTCCAGCACTACCAGCAAGCACTCTCGCGTTTCTTTGCCTAACATCAAAGTTGGTTACAAGTTCTTTAGTCTTACTGTTAGTGGCAAAAAACTATGACGCACGCAGAGAGATCTGCGGACTTGGCGTCGCCAGCTTCACGATCCGCACGGCCTTTGGGGACGGGCTGCGCCACCTTGGCCTTTTCCAAGGCGGGAATACGCGCGAACGTGACGAAGGTTCCTGCGCCGAGAGACATGGCCGCCGCGGCCGCCATCTTGACGGTGATCTCAACGTCCATCTTGACCAGCGCGGCGGCCACTTCGACGCGCAGCGAGTGCTCCGCCGACAGGATGTTGACGAACTCGCGTATGCAGGTGGCAGTGGCGGCGGGCGTCGTGAGCTGCTCGCGGTGTCTCTTCCACTTGAGCAGCGAATCGCTGTGCGCCACGCTCACGACTCGCCGGCTGTTGGTGCGCGGGTCCGGCGCCATCAGTATCTATCAAAGCAGGCCGTCTGTGAATGACCTCACGCAGAGTACGGCGGCTACCGCCATAGCGCTCGTTTCTGCGAACCAGTCTCAGTTTTGACAACATCTCGTGCTCGGTATCACTGAAAAACACATTCGTTAGAGGCTCTATAGCCAACACTGATCTCAAGAGAAACCAACTAGCTCAACTCAATTCTGATGCACGGGATGTCTATACGCTATAATGCCTTTGTTAGTCACTATCCCAAGACTTAAATAAGCACCAAACGATTAACCTCACCAAGGGTTATCCCGCGAGGAGTGACTGCGCTAAGATATACTACAATTAAGAGTATTTACTTTTAAAGTTAGCCTCCTTTGTGTCTATCCGCTAAGAATAGCCCTGACAGTCAGAAATAATGATGCGCCGGCAGAAACACGTCAAATTCGCGTGGCATATTTCCAAGGCACGCAGTATTACATTCCAAGTAAGGAAATGAAGAAAAGCGTTGTTCCCTGTGAGTTCTGGTATTCAAAGTTAATCAGTGTGTAATAATTTATCTAATTATTCTGCTAGCAGTCAACTTCAGTACCTGCATAAATAGAATCCGCAATTAGGCCCGAAATGCAAGTGTAGTTTGTTTACTGGTTGTATTTGTTTCGAGCGTAGAAAAAAAAAGTCGTTTTCACATTGGTTTTGGAATGTGTCACGTCGAAAAATTGTTGTACATGGTAGTGCACCCAGCAAAATGATTCTCTGCTGCAATATGGAGCATAATAAAGTTAATGATGACCAGTTGTAAACTCCAGTGGCCTGCACGAATGTACACGAATGTAAAGTGTCAAGCCATGTGATAAAACACGTGGCGCGTGACGTGCCATAAAAGTTGGTGTCACCATTTATACACACCGTGACTGAAAGTAATAGACAAAGAGAAGGGTACTCCTTGGTGAAAAGAATAACCTATATATAGTATATAATGACGCCCAGAAGCAAATGCATGTGGGAATCGCACGCATCCGCCTGTCTGATGTCGCCACTTGCTGAGCGGTAGCAATGTACGTGGGTCAGTTGTGCGAAGTGTAAGAAACGTGCTTTACGCATACGGCTCTTGATTTCCCCTCGACGCCAGCCCTTCCTGCAAATCTTCCACAAGGATTATTTCTTGTCCTCATTGTCGATCGAATTTAGTAGGCAACGAAAGATAATATCCAGGGCTTCGTGCCCCAAAACTACTATATAATGACGTCATAGTGGAAGGATCCGAAAATTTGTCATCACAGGCTGACATCACAGGTCACTAGCATTTCGCCTCTATCGCAACCTGACCACTGTGGCCAGGATCAAATGCGTGACCATCGGGTCAGCAGCGGAGCACCGTGACCGCTAAACCACCACGGTGGACAGGCCACCAAAAATATTGTCAATTTGTTCAACAAGGCCTTCGCATGCCTTGCGTGGAATAGGGACTGGACGGAGCAATCTGTAATACCCACAGGCAACACCCGCGTCGCATCGGTCGCATACTCACCTTGAATAGTACGTCGATGTCCAAGTCGAGTGCCAGCGACACCAGGAGGCGAAGGGCGGCGTCCTTGGTGGTCAGCTTGGCCGTAGTCGGATGGAGCAGGGACTCGCTCCCGCCTCCGTCCTTAGTGCGCCGGAAGAGGAGCTGGCTGATCATCCAGGGCACGTCGATGTGTCGCGTCTGCACCTCGACGCATGCCAGGTAGCTGAGGGCCGCCTTGTCCGCGCCGGAGAGCGGCTTGTCTGGCGGAGGGAGCTTCTCCATGCGCTCGCGAAGCTTGTCGTTCGCCGTCCGGTACACGCGAGCCTGCGGCCATATGCGTGTGCAGGGTTCTCTTTCAATGGGGTGAGTGGAGTGGGGAGGGGTGAGTGCCTCATTTATACAAAGTGCATGGGGCAGACTTTGCACCCCCTCCCCTTGTAGAGGACTGAAGAGAGCGACCCCCTCCCCCTACCTTCTTGTGTGCTCAGGTATGCCTGCGGCACGTAACGCGGCCAACCTATAGATTAATGGTTACGCACATAGTATACCAACAGAAGGGGGGCAGGAACGTGGTTGCCCTTCTCCGCCTTTCCATCCCCAATCATCTAAGAGGTGTGCCAAGTCAACCCCAAATGCTTACTGAGTCGGACCTGCTTTGTCATCGTTTAAAGTGAAGGATCTTTAGGGTTACCATATTTACTTGAATGTGGCGCGAGCTTTTTTTCAGATTATTGCAATCAAAAGTCAATGCAAGCATTAAAATCGAATACGGAAATTTTATTTCTTCTTGCGTGCAATAAGAAATCACCCCTTACGGTACAATCGTGGTCATGTTAGTCCAGAAAATACGATACGTCTACTCAGGTTTTGGACAGTAGTGGCAGTCGAAGATTCATGATGAGGAGTTTAAAGAATAGTTTAGCTCTCTGGGCAGCACGTCAATGTTTCCATTTCAGTTTTGAAATCATTGCTCGTTGTCTGTCGGATTCGCTCAATTAAAAGGTGGGGGGGGGGGGCTCAAGACTATTTGGCCGACCGAATATTCAAGTATTACCTTGGGGCCTAGACAAAATAGGGTCTAGGGAACCTGACCTTATTTTCCCTTAGAATGTAAAAATGTCCTTCGTAAGCAAGAAGGAGTGTCGGAATGTACTTGTAAGAGGAACGCGGTCACTACATGTTTGATTAATCTGTTAGCTTGTAAAATTAGTGAGAACACAAATGAGCAGTAGCCTTTTCAATTGCGCCATACTTCACCCCTGGAGTGGCTTACGGTTGACACAAGGGTGGACATTTTCGAACCTGCATCCTCGATTGGGTTGTTAGGAAAATGTTGGACCGAGCGACCAACTAATGAATTGAGTAACAAGCTAACTAAAGAATGAGATTACTAATGTACTCCTAAACCAACTATGAACCAGTGAACTGACCAGCTAGCCAATGGCCTAACTAATGCCTTAGTAAATGACAGTCGAAATTGATGTTTATACCTCCAGGTACCGGAACTGGTCCTCGTAGTCAGGGTGGTTCTCGGCCCAGCGACCGCACGTGTACTGGTAGAAGTCGTCGCAGGGGTTCGAACGCAGATCCATCGCCGTGTACAGCTCCGCGCCCAGGTTGAAGCAGCTCAGGTTCAGGCACGTGATGTTGCGCGGCATGCGCTCCGGAGGTGGCGTGAAGAACACGTAAGCGGCCACGCCGACGATGGTGAAGAGCTCGATACAGGCAAACGCCTCCACGCGAACGGACATCATCATGTTGCGCGTCGGCGGGGGCAGACCGCCGTCAACCTGCATCATCATCATCATCATCATCATCATCATCATCATCATCATCATCATCATCATCATCATCATCAACATCATCATCATCATCGTCCCGACTACGCCTCATGCAGGAAAAGGGCGTCCACCGTGCTTCCTTTTACTGTTTAACAATGTTCAACAAAAGTTGTAGCTGAGTGAGTTGGTTTGTACTGGCCAGGTAACCGGTGTGTGCAAATAAAGGCAGGGACACCGAAAGAACGAACAGAGATTGCCCCATCTCCCTGTTCTTCGTGTCCGTCTTTTTTCGCAAACACCAGCCTGCCTGACGCTAATGTGCTGTGCTTAGTAATAACTACCGGGTTTTACGTCCAAAAACCACAATACGTTTAATACGCCCTTGAACAACCATTCAATTTACGAAGAACTAGGACATCATTTTCTCTCGATGGTCCCCGTCATTGCGGCATAATTCGTAACGCCGGCTATTCGTTCTCGTGACGTGAGGATCAAAGACGCTCTTGATTGGTGTATTTCGGAGAGAACTGTTGCGAATCGTCATCTACCCTGCTTTGCCGTGTAGTCGCATGGCCGGTCTGCCTTGTTTTGCATGGCTGTCGTTGGTTGGTTGGTCGGTTCACCCTTTTAACCTGGCGCAACCCACCTTGGGGGATCGGCCACGAAACGTGCTGTGCCTTGTGATATGAAAGAACTTTTTTATAATCTCAAAATGTTCAACAAAATACATCATTTTGAAATAACTCATACGTAGATTTCACGTGAAAACGAAACAAAACAAAATGATGCGCGAAAGACTGTTTTCACTTCGTTTCCGGCGTTTACACAACGTAAACAGAAATTGCAGTGGAAAATTGCAGTGGAAAAGTGCCACATCCTGGCTGGCTGAACAGTTAGTGCTGACAATGCACGTGGTTATGAAGAAATAAGTGGCGAGGAGGAGACAGCGCTTGCAAGAGGGGTAGTGATGGCGAAAACGAAGCTACGGTCTCACCTTTGAAGTGAGAGTGGTTTTACGGGGCCCTGGCAGTTCATTATTAATCCTATTTGGAGCCACCGTAATGAAGATAGGAGGGGAGGAGGTTCTTTAGTATTTCTAGTTCTCGGTGGTTCTAGAACGAGAACTTAAACTTAAGCACAAGAACATCTAGCCTGTGACCTTCATCTAAATGCGATCGCTATGGCCGGGGTTGAAGACCTGCTAGTCGGGGCTCAACACAACGCGTGGCCTCCACGATTAGCTCCGGAAACCAAGCGCTGCCAGAGCTGAGGCCATGAGCAACGTAACCGTGCCGGGTTTCAAAAGACTCACCTGTTCAGTCTCTCCCATTTCGCAGCTCCTCTGTCTCGTGAAGGAGCGACAACCAGTGAACGAGGCAGGAGTGGCGTCTTGAACGCAGCAAGCGGCGAGAACCAAGCACACAGCGCTTAGAAAACGAGGCTTCTTCTGTGGAGTCAGCGTTGCACGTGAAGAACGCTCGAGCTCTTGTGAAAACGACGACGAAGATCCAAGGAATGATGATGGTGATAATGCCACGTGGCCGTGACGTTCACAAAGGCAGCAGGTGAGCAGGTGACGTGTCCAAGGGGAAAAACTTATTTTGGCGGCACTTGCCACCGGCGAAACAATTCCAAGTACAAGCGAGGCATGATGTATTCTGATATTGGCGAACAGAGCGTCGGTTATCGATAAAACGGCTCATCGTTGGAACGAGCCGTCTTGTATACGTCACACATCAAATTTTCCTGCCGGATCACCCGTTGCCGCGCAAGCTCTGAAATAAACTTGACTGTTCGCGTCTTGTGCGCAATGTTAACAAAGCAATCTACTACGATCACCAAATGGGAGACTGTCAGATAATGTTTTACCATTTTTTTGTAACATTATCACTAAAGCAACGTTTATGATAACAGCAGCAAGGATTATCCCTTATTTGGCCAACACAAATCTGTGGGTCATGGGTACTCCCTTCGGCTGCTCTGGTGGCATAATTTCTGCGCCTACTGCATATTATGATTACTTACAACGCAGACTTGATAATAATCACCCGTGGAGCCAACCACCGCATCTCGACTTGCTGCGAAAACGGAACTCTCCTGTCGTTTTCTGGACCTGGGCTTCTTTAACGTGCATCTACATCTAAGTACACGTGCTTCAATTCCTTTTTGCCACCCCGCCGGGATGGTCTATTGGCTAAGGTATTCGGCTGCTGACCCGCAGGTCGCGGGCTCGAATCCCAGCTTCGGCGGCTGCATTTACGATGGAGGCGGAAATGTTGTAGGCCCGTGTGCTCATATTTGGGTGCACGTTAAAGAACCCCAGGTGGTCGAAGTTTCCGGAGCCCTCCACTACGGCGTCTCTCATAATTAAATGGTGGTTTTGGGACGTTAAAACACACATATCAATCAATCAATCAATCAATCAACCAATCAATCAATCAATCAATCAATCGATTCCTTTTCGCCCCTGTTGATAATGCAACTGCCGTGGCTGGGATTGGATCTGGCGACCTTCTGGTGAGCAGTCAACCACCATAACCACTAGAATACCGTGGCCAATCAGAAAAAAATGGTGGAATAGGATATGCGTCAGCATGAAGAACACAATCAAGCGAGACAGTGATTGATGTTAGCATGTATTTACAAAGCTATGCCGTGCATTAACAGCAGATGTTAGGTGGAAAGACGTTATGGTATAACTATTGAGAGAATAAACAAGCGTTCATGGTGATTAGTGATGTGTGTCGAGTTGAAACTTTTGTCAATTAAGCGGGTGAGAGTATTCACGGCAAAGTTGTTCAAACTGTTGCGGCAATGAAATAGAATACTCATTATGATTATCTCTGAAACCTAGTAATGTTTCGCGGTCACAGGGGGCGCAGGTGAAAGGAGCAGTAGACCGAATCGAGGAAAACAGCTAGGAGGGTCCTTTCAATAATGAGTCTGCAGCGTATATAAAAAAGTCACTGCGAATGTTACGCTCGAAATTTAGCCCCAGCGGAATGCAGAACTTCTGATTTTTTTTTTCGATAATCAAAGTGGAAGAATGTTTCACAGGACTTTAAAATGATATTTGCTATAACAACATTAATAAACGTTTATTTCAGTCCGCAATTAAGCGAAACCACTAAATTATTGGAACATCAAGTTCTTGCTTCGTTGTTCACGATGTTGCCGAGCCACATGTTTCACGACAGGACCAGATGACCATGGGGAAAAGCGTGACGTTCATAGCGGCGAACTTGTCCTTGAACGCACAAAGCGTCCCTGTCCCAGCATTAGCGTTCCAAACAACTTAAGTCACGTGGCTCTTGATAACTTTGCCCGCCATTACGTTACGTCGCGTGACTTTAGGAGTAGTCGAAATCGCAGCCGGCGACTTGTCGGATGAACGGCTCCACCTTTTGAACCACTCGGCCATCGTCCTTAGGTGAACAGTGGCCTCGGAAGCAGGTCGACTCTCGCCCTTGTTCGTCGTCCAGCTGAAGCTTGCAGTTCCAGGAGACGAACGTGAATTGGCTTGTGTGGGCCACCTGGTCGTGTGATAGGTGGCGCTGGATGACGGCGGCGACCATTTGACGTCACTTCTGGTTCCCGTTGGGTGACCTCCCGTCATCGTTGCCGTGTCAGTTGGAGGGGGGACGAGTAGTCGGCGCCGACGATCCGCCTTCTTACGTTCTTCAGGAGTGTCTTCTAGCAAGCTATACGGTTAGTGAATGAAAAAAAAAAACACAACCCCATCAGGAAGTGAGCATCTCAGTACTATCTCAGGAATGCACGCGTTCTCATTTCCTCCCTGAGATCAGGTCTCCTGTACGTCCTTATCTTGACCTTTTTGAATGGACTCTTATAAATGTAGAAGTTTGTCATGGCATGCTAGGCTGCTACGCTCACTCTGAGTAGACGGTTCTGTTGAACTTTCTTAGCACTGTCGAATAGCGCCTTACCATCTATCAGCTCTAAAATTCACATGACTCGTAGCTCGCCTGGCCTTTGACTGTTTGAAAGCCCATGCTTCCTTAAAAAAAGCTTACCCTGCGTGGCTTTGAACTTCTGAACTTGCAGTTTTAGGCTGGCTCAGCGCTTTTGATGATCCTCCTTTTCACGCGTTTATACGCTCCTAACTTCCTGCTTCGCTCAATTTGGACGTCATTTGCATGAAAATGACTGCAATGTCGGAGCTTTGCTAATTTAGAGTGGTAGCGCTCCTAGTCTGACGTTTTCTGTCAACTGACAAGTTGCGGACTCGTGCTTTGCGAAATAATTGGCTACTTCTATGTGATTGTTACGTTGAGCGTATACCTTGCGGGTGGTTGGTGTGCATGAAAAGTGAAAGAGAAAAGAAAGTTTCTAACTGCTGAAGATTGGACTATTGCTGCCTTTAAGACTTTATACTAATTTGTTGGTGTTTTGGAGTAGTAATTAAAGCTCTGGTAAATAAATATAGTAGTAGAGAGTGATCCTCAATCGGGAATCGGATATACGTACTAGTCAATACATGTATGGCTAACCAATAACGTAAAATGGTGGATGACAAGGTGGGAAGCGAATTAATTCTAGTTCTAGAGAGTGGCGAAAACCAAGAAACTTCGTACGAAAGTAATGACGTGTTTGCATCAATCACCGCATAGCGTATGCTTGAATACATGAACTTTATTAGCGTGAAACAGCTTCTTCTGTAGCACTGTGGTACATGTTTCAAATAAGTTCACCCCGTAAATCATAAGAATTTCTTGCCAGCGTGAACCGATTCAAGTGGAAGGGGAGGGGGCCCGGCCTCCACTCCCATGACACCCTCTCTTTTCGCGTATTTGTCACCTTTACCAACACTCTTTATTAGTACTAACAATATACCGCTGGCCATTAGGCCATTGCAGGGTGAGTCGTAAGGCATCACATTAACAAAGCGGACATTACAATGAGCAGTCAAAAAATAACGCAATGGGTGTCACAACAGGAATGATACATCTACGAAATTTCGAACTCGGCAGTACAGGCATGCTAATAATATAAAGAGTGGTTGTCACAATGCG